TTTATTTTATTTTTTTATTACTTCACGCTAAGCACAGGTAACCTCAATGAACATAGTATAAATCATCAGGTTAGGTAAGATATTGTCTTGTATAATATGCCAGACTTAGTAAGTGTGTGCTAGCTAGAAAAACAACTATAAAAATTCTTTCTGCGTTCAAACTGGAAATTTTAACCAGTATCTAGTGGAGAACTGGGAGGACCAAAGTCTTGATTTCCCCGCCCCCCCGAACAGACCAACATCTGTTACTGCGTGGTCCTTAAAATTCTTTAGTTGCGGAAAACTTATAGTTTGGCTCGACCGGAGCAAGTATTGAAAAGCAACATTCTCTGAGCAGACTGGGGGAGGGATGGTTGCTCTGCTGTTGGGGTGGGAAGAACAAGAACCTAAAGACTGAATTCCTATATCTGCATTTTAAAAAGGAAAAAAGAAAAAAGTTGAAGTTACAAAACTGTGTTGAAGTGCTCTAGCTTTCCTGTGCCTCTAAACTGGATGGTTAATACTGCTAATACGGACTGAAATTCAAGGAGGCGTTCAGTTACTGCAAATCTGGTGTCATGTATCGTGTGCTCTCCCCCGGGATTTGATGTAAGTTACGCTTTTTAAAAAAAGAAAAAGCTCACTGAAGAGAACGTGGAGAACACTTGTAGATCTCAAGCTTTCCCCAAAGTTTCAGTAAAGCCATTCTACTCTACTGTTATTTTGTGTAGCTGTCTGGTTTTTCCCCCGAAAAAAGGGGGACGGGGTGTAACTCCACTATCGTGGAGTAAAAGCAACACGCTGTGCTACGTACTAAATCTGCATCATCATCAGAACTGAATTTGTCGGTGAAAGTCGTGTCCTTGTTTGAAATCATCCGAGCCTATATATAGTATTAGGACTATATATATATATAGTATTAGGACCACCGTAGTGTGGTCCTCTTCATGATAACTTGAATGAAAATACTGCACACTTGGATTAAATAGGTACAAACATCAACATGAACGAACAGATAAATCTTGTTGATAACATTCCGTTTCTTAATTTAAATTGTAGCTATGTCACTGAAAATATTTTAATGTAATTATCTGCATTTGCAATGCCTGTAATAAGCTTTAAAAATTTGTACGCATCAAATGTATATTTTTGGTTTGGCATAAGCTACTACTCTGTAACTTCTCTTGAATGTTTATTTGTATAATATATTCCTATGGAAACAAAGGCAACTTTCTCAACCTGTAAATAACATGGTTTTTTACCAGCCGAAACTGTTAACTTTACCCTGCAGTGGCCACTACCGTTCCTGATCGGTGAACGTGAGGTTCGCTTGTCCTGACTATGCTTTCGGGAAGGAAGCTAGCTGATGGTCCTGCCTGTAGAAGGAACAAACAGGAAAAAGGAGGCTGACTCGGGCTGAAGGCTTTTACTGTGATGGGCATGTTCTGTAGCCACGGTTAATAGCATTTGGCTTTTCAGGGTTCAGTGCGCCACACCGACTGACTGAAGAAATTATGGCCAATATCGTTGGCAATTTAAGAAACTGAAAGGTGCTATAAACAGCTCCTGTGAAACAATTGAACAGTACTGTAAAATGCGTATCTGTACAAATTTAGAAGTAATTGAAATTTTCAGTCAGTCTTACGTTTGGCCATGTTTTCTCTGTGGCTGGTTTTGCAGCTGCCGTGTCATGCACAGTGAAAGCAGTGTGTGAAGGTGAATTGTTAAAACGTTACCCAAAATTACCTATGCGTCAGCTAACTAAGGAAGGTGTTAATAAATAATTAGCTGTGTCTAACTACCGAATTCCATAGCATCCCTTCTTGAGACCTCTTGCTTTGGAAGGGAAGCTCTCACAAGCTGCGACAGCGGAGGACTTGAGGAGCTTGGAGCGTGGAGCCCGTCTCCTATCAGAAACGAGCAGCTGTACCCTCATGCTTCAAAGGTAAGGGAACCTTCCTCGTGTAAGGCAAGCAGCGTCCTTGCCTTCATGGCTGGCTGAGCTAGTGCACCATTTCAGTTGTCTGTATATAGGAAAGACAGTGTTTTTAGCAGGAAACTCTTAATTTTTAAGTTTTTTGTCTAACGGCTATACGTATGTTTTGATACTGAAGTTGAGCCATTGTGGAATATAACATCGTTTGACGTGACTACTTGGACAGTCTGCTCAGAGTTACCTGGTGAAGCATAAAACTGGTGTTTCAGCATTGTCTTTTAGTATTTCATGATTGTCTATACTAGGACAGCTGAGCCAAGCAAAAACTTAAAAAAAATGTTAGCTGCCTTTGTGTGTGTAGTATTTCTTACAATTAAGTTAGCAATATATGACTAATGGCAGCCTTGTGGTGAGGGGAAGCGGAAGCAGAATCTGGTTCTGGTGAACAAAATATGTTCTGGTGTGCCCGTACTGAAACAACTCTTCTTTTCCTTCTTCAGTCAAGCTTAGCTTTTGTGGGTCAAACTAACGCAGTGATAGGATCCTCTTAGGAGAGGATTCATTTTTTAATCCATATTTTGGGGTTGGTTCTTACCCCAGGTAGATATAATTGTAGAAATGATTAGTTTGGAAACCATTAAATGTTTGTTTGTGTGTTTGTTTTTTTTCCCATTCCCAAGGTTTTCTCCTGGTTCCTGGAGATGTGCCTAAGGAATGCTCTGCTCTAGATAGGTGGATATCCTCTGTACAGAGTGAATACAAAATCTACGGAGACGCAGCACTCTGAACTCCGCAGACCAGACCGAAGATTTTTCTCAGTTAAGTACTGTTTGTACATGCTTCTGTTTATATATTGCACTTGAAAATTTGAGACTGGAGTTGTCAGTTTTCTTTCGATAATAGCCCAGAAAGCGTAAGCAATTAATACGATCAGTGTCATAGGTTAAGTCCTACGTGACGGGGCCAGTGAATAGAAATTGGATAACAATGCTGCTTAGTGGTGGTATTAGCAACCTGGTTTATAAGCCCAAAGCAGTATAAAGCAAGAACTTCCACGTCATCCATAATAATTTATGAGCGCTAATCGGAAGAGAGCTGTTTACTGGGAATGCAAAACTAACACTCCCTCCTCCCTCCCACACGAGCCAAATTAGCGAATGTAAGAAATCCCATGCATTTTATATGAGATTCCATGTAAAAGCTTTTATGTGTAGGAGCTTGTTTCAGCTTGCATTTGCATCTTTCTCTCTTTTTCTAGAGAAAAAGCTTGCAGTTGCAGGTATTGGCCGCTCTGTCTAATTAAAGAGTAGGAAGACTCGGGTCAAAAGCATATAAAAGCCAAGCAGCCAACAACTGCTGGAAATCTGCAACCAGTAGCGCCGTGTCCGGTGACAGGGTGACACCTTCTCGGCTTTGTTTTGTTCAGCTGAGGGGCTGGGTGCGCGGCAGAGGCGTTTGTGCCAAGATGGCGGCTGCGTTGCGCATCTAGGCCAAAGACCGTAGAAGTTCCGTGAGTATCGGAGCCTAGTTCAAAGAGCAGAAAACATGGGAAGAAGGTATTTTTGGCAAGGATGAGATGAACAGACAAACAAAATCCTGCGTAAGCCTGTGTTTGAGTTTCATGGCCTCTCCCATGACTTTCTTCCACATGTGGTTGTTTGCCTTGATGTCAGGTTACGTTGTGTAATTCAGCTGTCCTCCCCTCAGTTATAATCCCGGTTTTATTGGAGTGATTAATGCTGAAATGCAGCCTAATGTTTAGGGATGATAAGATGGGTAACTCTTACGTATGCTCTGTTCTGATTCTTTCCGGTGTGTCTTTCAAACAAACTGAAATGCTTGGCAAAAAACAAGTGCCAATGAAAAGCTGAGCCCCTAGCAAAGAAAAACTTAATTGAAACAACCTGAGAAACACTTAAATGAAAGCAAAATTGGAAGAGAGTTTGGGGTGGGGGGTAGACTTAGAAAATGTGCTGAAAGCATTTTAGTCAACCCTTATCTTGGAGCAATGCTGCTTTTAGAAAGCCCGGAATAGCACCACTGAAAATGTCTTACCTGGATTGTCCTGGAAATAATTTTATTCACAAAAGTGCTTTTAGATTGTGGTTGTAGAAGACAGCAAATCCTTACTAGGCAACCAAATGCTTTTATTACAAAATTTATCTGTATTTTTACATACCATGATCACTGACACTGCATGTTTATTTACATTCACAAGCAAAAGTAGTTAACTTGCAAAAAATATATATTTTAATTAATTTTAAGAACAGAAGAAAAATGTTGCTGCAAAGTTAATAAAAACATTAACTTTAAAGGACCCTGCTGATAAAGTGCTTCTAAGCTGCAAAATCTGGGAAGTTACAACCTAGGCTTGAACATACTGTCTGGAATTCCACGTCAAAAGCAAAGCACAAAGTATTAAAAAATGTAGCGAGACATCGTGTCCCTAATTACCTGACCAATGCTGGGGCTAAAACGCTGTTCTGCATGCTCTATATTAATGCCTGTTAAATATACCTTCAAGGCATGTCGTCACAGTTCTTGAATTGAATCTGCTGCAATGGATCTGAGCGGCCCTTCGTGTCTCCCACACGTTTACGTGGCCAACAGGGGTGATCAGAGAGCACGCGTGCCCTGGTGAAGACAGTGGCAGGAACCCGTTTCTGCTGAACAAATACGTTCTGGTACGCCTATGCTGGAAACAACAAGCAGGAAGACGGATGCGCAGCGGTGCGAACCATCAAGAACAGCGGACTGAGATGACAGCCTTCAATTTCGGAAGTTGCACAGGTTTCAAATGATCAAAATCTGATCCGGCCTCCTTCTCCCTGCTAGCATGACTCGTTTTCATCAGTCTCCATGGGGCTGTTGCCTTGGGAAGGAAACAAGGAAGAAGAAATGCAGTTCTCCGGTATAGGTGGCAGTGATGGCTGGCATCTTTCTTGTACGATTGGCTCTTCGGCCAGGCGTAAGTCAGTCTCAAAATAATCCATGGACTCCCCTTCTTGAACCTCTGCTAAGATCTGGTAGTCCCCAAAACAAATGATGCACTTCCACGGCAGGTCGATTTTGTTTAAGTAACCCAGTTCTGTTTGGCCCACAATCAGTTTAGTTTTCTTGCTCATGTTCTTGATCTCAAAACAAAATTCTGAGCTGTTCAGTCTCCTGTAAAACTGCAGTGAAAACTGAATCCGAGAAACACGAGTATCCATTAAGTTATAATGGCAGACATTAGAATCGCGGCCAAACTTGGCCATTTCATCTGCCCTGACCTGTTCTCGCCTATGGAAATTCAAGCAACGAAACATCATCTTGTCTTTTTGGCAAGGATGGTAAAAGGTCATGTGGAGACACGTTACTGTTTCTTCCGTTTCGCTTTCTTCAAAAGAGGTCATGATGAAATGAGTCCTCGGAACTACAAGAAAGAAGTAAAATCACAGCATGAAACCCCTGCAGCACCAAAAAAATCGGCTTCAGCCGATTAGGTGCCAGTAAGGTTTATTTTATGGACTTAAAATGAAGTAGTACTGCCTGGGCCTGCGTGCTCTGTTTTACAGCGTAGTGCTTTGACTAGAAGGTATCAGACAAACGACTTTTACAAATGTAATCTGACTTTAGGCAGTGATATTTCAAATGTGTATAAAGCACTCTTGGCTTGTTAGTCAGAATTTACCTCGTGTGACACAAAATACAGCGTTTAGAAGTGACTGACCTGACCGTATGTAAAATGAATGCAGAAGCTGAGACCTAAAGGAGGAGTTGTCACCAACTCCAGGTGTTTCCCTGTTGCCTATGGGAAAATCCCAGCTATCTGCTGTGGAAGGACTTACCTAGGCACTAAAAATAACAAATAATTTTTGTTAGGGTTTTGTTTTTTTAAGCTTCTCGCATGCAGCACAGAGACACTTGCTTATGAACTAATTTCTGTTCCAAAGTCTGAGCAACTGCAGTGCGTCCAAATAAAATCTGTGAGATACCTTAGGAAACGCTGCCATCTGGTCCTCTCTACATGCAAGGCCAGTGTTTTCCTGCACTGAAACTTAGTCTAAAGAAAGAAAAGGCCAGGTCCTTAAAGTAGGAACCAGAGAATGAGTTCTCAGTTACTCAGCAGAGAAACATGTGAGCAGCCATTTAACTGGCATCATGTACTGCAGATGTTTGTCACGTTTCTCCTGCTAGATGGCGTGAAGTTCCCGACATGCCACACGCCAACCCTGAGCTTTCTCACCACCTCTATTCAGTCAATGATGCTGAAAAGCAGCCTACAGTTTAATCTGTTTTTATGGGTAGGTGAATCATCGCTGCAGTTAAGCATTCTGACTAGTGTTTTCTTTAAGGCTAAATTATACCACTGGACATAAACTCCAAGCACAGGGAATAGTGGTGTATCCGCGTGTCACTTTGTGCGTGAAACCTCAGCATCGCTTCCTTCTTACACCTTGAACGCAACAACAGCAACAGTTCTGACACAGTAGTTTAGCAACCTCAGCTTGCTGACGGAAGGAGGCTCCAACAGTGCTTCTACCAAGCTTAGATAATTGAGAAATACAAAATTTCAAGTAGCTCACTTGAAAACAAACTAGGAAATGTTGTCGATGCTTTTGACAGAAGTACAGATGCCCCGACGGCAGGCTATTCCTGGGCCGTCTGTAGGACAAGCTGCAGTGGCATGGGTATCCATCCCTCATCCTAGTAGCATGCCTCGATTCCGGTGAGCTGGAAGCGGCTCCGCGAGCAGGAGGATGGACTGTCTCCTCCTGCGCTTAGTTCTGCCCTTCGCTGTTCCGCACCAGTAAAGAGGATGTGAGACGTTTACATGAGGTCAGCTTTGGTTAAAGGGGAAAACCAAGCCATGTCACTTAGTTCACAGATCGGCCTTACGGAGACAGTTTTCTGTCTCGAGACTTGGGCTGAATTTGATACTACCTTAAAAGCGTGTTCTGCTTCCGTTAATGTCTTCCTTAATTGGTTTCTGAAACGCATCAGGACCGGGCAAAACACAGGCATACAAAGAAAAGTATTTTGAGAAATCGGCAAGTGTATACAACTGTGTATCAGATCAATGCAAAATGTCGTCTTTATCCGCATGTTTCCGGATTTTACACGTGGCGACATTTATTAATTAGGGAAGGGGAAGAACTGCCACTGATTGCTTCGGCAGCACCCGCTGAGCCCGGATCGCCGCAGCTCCCGCACACCCCGCTGGCTGTTCGCCATCTGCTTGTGTGCAGCCGGCTCAGCTGCCGAGTCCTGCATTAAAGGTTTATTTTGAGGCTGGACTGAACATACTTTCAGGTAAATACCCAAGGAGTTTCTGTTTACTAGAGGGTATTGGACAGGAGAAGGATTTCAGAGAGCTCTAACTGCAGAGGGAAACTTTTGATAGTTAAATCCAGATTTCCCCTGCAACTGTAAGGCAGCCCGCTGCATTGCTGTTGTCTGTGCCTGAATTTGAGTCGAACAAATTGTTGTCTCACCTCTTTCACTTCTCCCAACATCATCTCCTTCAGCGTGCATCGTTATCCCCATTTTTAGAGACAGGAGAATGGCACAGAGCATTGAGAACCCGGCTGCCTAACTTGAGAACCACAGGGCTCCTACTTGAGTGTTTAACAACGTATTGAAGAGCTGTAACTCTCTATCTACAACTTATCGCTTGGAGAGCTCTGCCAACTTGCTTCTGCAAATCAGAACGTAAGCGTTCAACCTGTGTCTCAAGAAGAATAACATCTCTTTCGTTATTTAACTTTCATTTTGGATGACGGTGCACCTTGAGCCAGAGGCAGCGCAGAATACGATTTTCAAGCGCCTGACAGAAGGCCAGCTATCCTTTTTGTGTCCCAGCGTGCCGTGGTCACCAGCGTATCTATCTTTCGCCCTCTGCAAGAGCCGAGGTAGGAGGCCGGCAGACCACAGCTTGCGTTTCAAGCTCTGGTTGTCCTGGGGCCGGTTTGCCCGGTGCGCTGGAGCACGTACGCCGCACACAGCAAGCCAACAGTTCCTAGCCAAATGGACTTCCGACAGCTCCTAACTCGCGAGCGCGACCTCCGTTTTGCTAAAAATACCATCTTTGCTGGCACTACGCGAGAATATGCCCAAGCTGTTGACAACACGTGGACGCCCCTGGGCTCCGTCCCGCCCGCCCCTGACCGACCACAGCACGGCAAGGGCAAGACCTCCCGACAGCGCTCCCCGCCGAAGCCACCACCTCCGTCGGATCTTACTGCACAAATCCCGCTCTGCCCGTGCCCGAGGACCCGGCCACCCTTCCCGGTACGCTCCCTTCCCCGCACCGCAGCCCGGCCGGGGCCCTTCCCTCACC